TCTCTAATTTTTAAATTAAATTATCATTTTCCTAATAATGTATAGAAGTTAGTTCAAAAGAAAATAGATCTCATTCTGCTTTGTAAAATAATATTAAAAAAAGAAGACATATAGTAACTGATAAAAGGATCCATGTCCTTTGCCATCTCAGTATAGTTTTATGAGGTGACTAATATTTCATTTTGCTTATCAAGATGTTTCTTTACTTTTTAAGCAATACATATTGAAGTTAAGAGCAAATCCAGTAATTCTACAGGAAATACATAAGAAGTGTATTCTGTTGGAAGTAATGACAAAGAAATACTGTAACAATATTGTTTTACCAAACATGCTTGAAATTCGGTATCACATTCGACAACATTTACGATACTCATTTTAACATTGTTTCCTTTATCATATGACTTTTTCCAGTATGTTAGCTTTCACAAGCATACATTTATTCACAAGTCACTTTTATTATCATGGGGTGGGAGTGAGGGGAGAAAAGCAACTTGATTTTGGTGTCTCACAAAATCATGAAATATTTCCAATGTAAAAATATGTACAAATTCATACACACGGAGATAAACCAAAAAACTCTGTTAACTCAAACACGCCAAAAATCTCCCACATGGCTTTCTGTCCACCTTGCAGTTAAGACAGTTGCGAACAGTGCATTCTGTTCTGCTTTTCCAACCTAAGAGTGCTGAGCACCTTAAAAGACAGTGATTTGAACAAAGTCTTAACTTGTATTTCCTGGATGGAAATATGTATTGATTTTTGTTCCATGTGTGACCTAAAACCAACCATCCCAACATTTGCGTTTAGATTACAGGCATATATTTAAAAATGACACCCTGAAATTATCATATCCTCCTTACTTAACATTGCATTTCTCTCTGAAACAGTTCTCTAAGCTCTTAGCTAAGACTGGCTTTAGAAAGCATGTGAAACCATGAAATTGTGAAATAAAAGCATGCATAATGGTGTTTATTAGCTAGGATTATCCAGCACACCTTTCTTCCCCCCTTAAAAGAAAAATCAGCAAGATAGGAAGAATAGGAAGTACAGTGTAAAATCAAAATAAAGTAGTGAATACTGAACAACAGAGTCACACAGACATAAAATTAGGAAAAGTACATTAATTCTAAAAAAAATGATTAATCAATCTAGTACTGCACAATAGTGAATCATTAACAAATCGCTATGTTTATGGCTATTGTATGCACAATACAAATGCAATTATCAATAACTGCACAATTGGCTCTGAAGCATATTTGTTTGTTTGTTTGCTTGCTTTCTAGCTTCTAATGTTACAGTACATTCCTAACAGAAATTTTCATAATATCTGACAAAAACCTTGATGTTTGCGTAATGTAAATTATTTCTGAAAGACAGTTCAATGAAAGATAATGTTAACTGATTTCTATAATTATTTAGTAAGATTTATTAGGCTCCACCCTACTGCACATACATAGAATAAGAAAACAATTCAAATATAATATTCAGTGACAATATTTATTAAAGGTATTATGTCATGAACAGCAGAAACTGAGTTTGATTTCTAAGTCTTAAAATAAAAATCTATGTCTACGTAACTTTCAGAATTACATTGTTTTTCATAACTGCCAAGTAACAATTAATTAACATTATTAAATGGATACCATGAGCTATCTCATTTATCATACAGGAACATAAATATCTAAACTATGACACATACAACACCAACACTGAATACTACTTATGTAGTTTCTGAGATACGCTGAATATTATTCTATTTAATTTTCTTCTCAAAGCTCATTGCTTTGCTTAGCAAAATTTGTATCAGAAATTTTCTTGGTGCTCATTTTAATCACTTGCAAAATTCAGGTATGTACCCTACTTGACAGAAATGTTCTTAAAGACAAGCGCAGTAGAATAGAGATACTTGAAAAATGCAATGATTATGTTACAGTAATGGATCTTTAAGGCCAGTTCAAGTTTCACTGTGCATTCAGTTATTAGCTCAACTTGGAAAAGGGTTTTTCGCAAGAAAAAATGCACTGCAAACACTTTATGGAAATCTTATGTCCCTCTTCCACTGAAATTCTCAAATTTGAAGGAGGTTAGTTTAACAACTTATGAGTAAGATCAAAACGCAGGTTCTGAATAATGCATTTGCTTGTTTACACCTTAGTCACTGAATTTGATTCAGACAAGAATGAAACATCTGAATTTAAATAAAGAGATTACTTTCTGGTACAACCTTGATTATCAAAGCTGTATCACAATTAGTACTATATACATATGTCTCTGCTTATCCTTCAAGCTGTGTTAAACAACAGTAATAGATACATAAATTTTGCTATGGACTTTGGCATCTGGATGCCCCTAAGTGATCAAATCCCAGCCAAAACAAACAAACAAACAAAAAAAACCAACCAAAAACCAAACCAAACCAGAACCAGTACAATCAATAGAAGCATTGATCACAAAAATACTTTTACCAATAGTAGTTACTGCCATATACACTCCCTTACACCATTGCTCTTCATCTCCATTATTGCTATTCATTTTATATTTGCATCTACATGATTAACAAAACATTTTTTTCTAAACAAACACCTCCTTGTAGACACTCAGAAATGATCATCTGTATGGAAAGTATTTCAGATATCCTCATTACCAGCGGAAAAAAAAAAAAAAAGAAAAAAACCCAACCAATCAAACAAACCAAAAAAAACCCACCCCAAAACACCAAATCCCAAACATGCAAACAAGACAAAGAAAAAATACAAAGAAATGAAAAAACAACACCCCCCCCCCAAAAAAACACTTTTCAGATTCCTGGCCTTTGTTTCTTGAATAGCACTTACAAACCAGTCAGCAAAGAACAGAATGCTTCATCAATACCCATGAACTGTTCTCAACAAAGCAAATAAATATCAAATTAATTTTAAAATTTTAAATAAAATCCAATAAAAATTTTGTTTGCAGTTTTCTTTTTATTTTCCTGTTTTGCTACAATGAAAGAATCAATAAGTGAAAATTAAGACCCTAACAAACACACACAAATAAAAGTCCACAGAAATCAACAACTGGAGTTCGGTTTTGCCATGTATTCACCCAAGGTCTTTTCTTCTTGCTTTTTAGATCCATAGTTGCCTTTTCCTGAAGAAACTAACAAATTTGTTTTCCTACTATTGCAGTTTTTTATACTGTTGTTACTTTTGCTGCTGCAGGGCTCCAGTGAGAATTCTCAAGGTTTCATTGTAAACTATTTCATAAATAAATGCGTGGAACCCAGTCTATGTTCAGTCCTAAGTTTGTGAAATCCAGAGAATAAAGTATTGGACCAAAATAACATAACTGTAGTAATGCACTGAAGGAAAAAAGGAACGTAAGAGTTCTGTGTTCTTAAGGAGATCATCACTTGGGCACCCAAATGATATCTTTGTGATATGTCTCAAGACAACCATTTTGTGATTTTGGCTCTAGATATTATCACTCCTCTTTTACCTCCAGAGATGAAGATTCAGTTTCAGGCCTAAGAAAAGGAACTGACCAACATTAAAAAGATGACAAACTAATTACAGCCTAGGAACTTTTGTAAAGTCAGAGTCACAAGTAAAACCACAGTATCATTCAGGTTGTCAAGGATTTCACGTGCTCTCAAATCAAACCTCTTTCCCAAAGCAGACTCTGACTTGCCATCTGAGGGGCCTTATCCAGTCATGGCTTGAAAATCTCTAAGGACAGAGATGACAAAGCCTTGCTTGGCCCCAGCTGCATTGCTGGGCTTTCCTCGTGGGGAAAAGGATTTTCCTTATCTCCAGTGTAAACCTCTTGATTTATATTGGGAACATTGCCTCTCATCTTTCCACCATGCACCGCTGTGAAAAACTGGCTCCATCTTTCTGATGATCTCTTGCAGGTACTAGGCAAAGCTGCTGTTAGGACCATGAAGCTCTTCTCCAGACTGAACAAGCCCAGATCCCTCAGTGCCTCCTCCCAGACATTTGCTCTTCCAGATCCTGACTATCTTAGTTGCCCTCTGCTGAACTCCAGTTTACCAACATTATTCACGTAATGGCAGGATGGTGAGGGCAAAACTAAACATGGATGTGGATGTTGCCTAGTAACTCCAGAGAAGGGTGGGATAATAATTTCCCTCAATTTCCTTCCTATACTCTTGTTCATACATCCCAAGAAGCACTGCTGATCCTCTCTACTACCAAGGAACACCGTTGGCTCATGTTCAGCTTACTGACAACCAGGGACCTTAGGGCCTTCTCCACAGCACTGCTTTCCAGCCACTCTGTCACCAGCCCATAGTCTACAGACTACTGGCTGAGAGTCTTGTGAAGACCTAGAACAGCTGCACAGGACTGGTATCCCTCTCCCTTCTGGCAAGTAGATTACTGTAAAAGTAAGCTAAAAGAGAATCCTTTCTTCAGTGACAGCTTTTGTACTAGATTTCACCAAGTAGCACAAAAAAAAAAACCATGATGACAACAGATAATCTATACATTTGTTGTAAGAGAAGATGCACTTTCTAACACTCTGTATTAACAGACTATTTGAGAAAATACACTTTGTACATAAACAGCATGGTAACAGTCAGAGATGCGCAAACCCACCAGTTTTACCCACTGCCATAATGTAACCCTATTTGACAAGGTTGAGTCACCTAGATTAAAAGGTGATGCCCTACTAGATGATTCTTATTCCTATGAAATTATCTGCCACATATCTTTTGCTCTTTGAGAAAAAAAACAACCACCAAAGGAATGGGCACTGAATGCCCTAAGCATCTTCTGTTCCTTCGGGTTTATGGCAAACTTAACCATTTCCATACTAGTAAATTAAATGCTGTATCTAGAGTATGGAAAAAGTTTTTGAATCAGTACATGAAAGACACAAGTACTTCATGTAGAATAAATATATTTTTTAAAACAGAATATAAGTATTAGCCAATAAAAGCAGATCACTGGGAGTTCAGCAGCACAGCTATAAAACAGTTATGCTTATGACTAGGCAGCTTGGTTTATGGAGATGACACAGCTAATTTTATTAGAGGACTTTACATATTATCAATCAATGTGTCTATACCCACTATTAACATCCAATTACAACTTCAAGCCATTTTTAATGGCCAAATCCTGCTATGTTGCCCTTCCTATAAAACAGATTTGGACTACATACATTAGCATGTCTGGTCACAACTTCCCACACACACTCTTTTCTTTGTTATAGATGACCAAAACTTAACTTCTAATCTCCTCTCAGATACATCTGTTTTTCTGCTTTGGACATTATACCTTTTCCAATGCTATAAGGTGTGAGAAGAAAATTTTATACTTTAATAAAAACATTAGGTATTTTCAGTACAGGTAAAAAAGAAAAACAAACCAAACCAAACAAACAAAAAACAAGCCAAACAACAACAACAACAAAAAAATCCTACAGAAACAAAGACAAAAAAGAAAAAAAAAAACACACAAAACAAAAAACTGCTAGCTCCAGCTTAATCTTATCTCAGTAGGCTACAGATGGCCAGCCTGTTGATGTTGAGCTTTCAAGAAATTCAGCTGAGGAGTAACCATCCTTCAATCGTAACATGTAACCAACAACACAGCTATGCTGACACAGAACTTTCTGAGGATCCCAAGCTTATGACTGTGCTGAGGACACAAGTCACTAAAAGCTGCTGAGATTCACAGCACTGGGTTGTTCCAGGTCCCAATCATTTAAGCCAGTATGTCATCCTCAAATCAAGCAGTAGGAGTCCTTAAAAGGCAGTCTTCCACATGCAAAGCAAGCCTGAAACTCACCTTCATCTCAGCTATCTGAAATATGTTTGTGATGCATAATTTATGACTCAAGGCCATATGAAGACTATGTCTAGCTCTTCCCATAAGTCAAGAAATGTCAGTTTCTTCAGAAGTCAATCAAAAAAAAATCTATACTATAGAAAAGACAAGCACGGAAGATACTGAACACCTTCAAACCCCATTAAAGACGGAAAACTTGACTCAGTGGATCATATCAGGATCATGGCTGGTGATTTTAGTATCCAAAATTTAAATCTTAGTAAGATCTGCCTCCCCAAACAACTACTGATATAAGATGGTAATTGAAACCTGAATAACCCAGACCACATAAGTTCATAAGGTTACGCTCTGACTACTGACCATCTGGATGACTTGAAACAACAGCATGGAAAACCACACGCCAAACAGCTGCAATTGAACCGGCATAGAAACACAACCTTTAAAATACTAGAAGAAGCTCTGTTCCACAAAACAGAATCACTACTTGCATGATAAATTATATTACTGCTTTGTATGACCAGTTCTAATTCTCAGTCTATTGCAAATAAGCCTTGCCCTTAATTTGGCATAAGCTCACTAGTGAAGTGTACTTCAGTTACAAAACCTGAATTCTGTGATTCAGCCTGAGGTTTGGAAAGCCCTAAGCCTTTCGTATCTCCACATAATTATACACACAGTGCACGAAAACCTCTACAAATTTATCTGCAAGCTACTGTTCCTTGAAATACCATGTCAGGATTATGCTCCTTACAGTACAAAGGAGTTTCAGACGCCTGGAGAAAAACTCAGAAAGCAACTCAGGACAACCTTCAGTTGGAAAGCACCTGGAAAACTGGAAAGAGACAATACCACGTAGAGTTTCATGCTAGCTCATTCTCACTTGCCTCACTTCAAAACCTAGAATCCAAGAGGATTTCCACAGAATAAGGGAATGCATCCATACTTCTGTGATACATACCTCTATTCTAAAACTAAGCATGTTTTAATCCCTAAAACAACCATAAGGATGATATAGCTTACAGAAGAGCTTTCCAGATAACTGTCTTCCTAGAAGTTACACAGAATTGCTACCATTATTACACAGAATCAACTCTTCAGAGTTCAAAATCTGCTGGACTCTACTTTTTCCATTTACTAAATCTGACATAAAACAATAAAATAAATATGGAAGAGTTGTTTACTGACTAGTACACTGCAACTCAGCTGAAGTGGTTTAGCACAGAGTGGGCCGAATGAAATAAGAGTGAACTAAATACTAAATGCAAACCAACATGTTGACATGACCTTAGCTACAAATGTTCAACAAACTAGAACATCAGTTTCACCTCATGGCTAACAGTTAATTTGGTAAATCAGCTACTATGCAGGTAGTTCAACTGCTCCTCACCAGCCAAGGCTAACATAACTTTGAATACAGCCAGAACTTCACAGATTCAGAGAGCTGTGAGGGCTGCAATGAACCTCTCGAGATCAGTTAGTCCAAACTTTCTGCCAAGGCAGGGCCACCTAGAGCAGGTTACACAGGAACACGTCCAAGCAGACCTTTCTGCAGAAGTAATCTAAATAGTTTTCATAAATCATATATTAATTTTATAAATGGGTATAATAGTCTGTAGACCTATAGATATCTAAACATGAACTTCCTATAAATTAACTGTAAACTGTGTGTGATCTGATCATTAAGTTTTTTAATTAGAAATTTTGAGAAAATTTAGTTTTAAAATGGTGATTATAGAACAACTCTCTTCCTAAAAAAAAAGATTTTAAAAAGCAAGCACAGGTTTTTAATTAAAGCATGTAGTTTTAAGGCAAGTTTATTTTCTTTACAAATTCTCAAAGAGACCCAAAGCCATTAACATCAAATCACCGTAATAAACATAGCACGTAAAAACTTAACTAAAACTACAGATTAACAATCATTTATGTACAGCCACATACCCTTCCTAATGGAAGAACTCCTCAACAAGAACGTGGAGTAGGACAATAACAGCCTTCACTAAACCTGTATGTCTACTGTCTCTCCTGCTCATGTAAAATACAGAATATCGAAGAAGTAAGAATACAGCACAGACTCAGGGAGGGTAAATGAGGAGGGAGAGAGAGAGCAGAAAAGTAGTTGGGGCTTTAGATGGAGAATTCTGAAAGCTTTTTGCAGCAGTTAAATAGAAGGTGAATCTTCACATTTCAGACGTTTAACATGAAGACAGAAATCCTGACATCTACCACTTGTTCCAATGGCAAGAGAATTACAATTGATTTGTTATTTTTGCTTTTACCTACCTTTAATGAGTAGACTTAGTCCTCCCTAATAAATATTAGTTACTTTTTGTAATTCAACTCATGTAAGACTTCCACTGTCAAAATGCACTCTCAGCTGTTCACAGCGCAGAATGCTACCAAGAGATAAGAAAGAAAAAAAGGTGATAGAATCTCATTTTGTATAGATGAGGCTACACAGACCAATAGCAGTCTTTGCAAATGCTTTGTGGATAATCTTCAACAGATCACACTGAGAGACACTAGCTCAAATTGGCAATCCTGGCCAACTAATACACTAGCAAGAAAACCTTTCAGATACCCTACAAATATCCAATACCATGGTCAGATTAAGGGAGCTATATAACCAAACAGTGCTCCCTTTCCCCCCTTGGATTTTGGTACATTGGGCGTGGAGGTGGTGTGGGGCAGGAGGAGGAGAAAATCAGACCAAAGTTACTCTGGGAACAATGTAAAATGCATCACCTAAAAATTCAGCAGACATGAACTAGCTTATCAGAGCTAAATATGTATTTCTGAATTTTAGCTCCACATAAGCACAATACATAGCTATATATAACCTTAACAACTGTATTGTATGTATTTCTGGCTCAGAATGCCATTACTTCAGTTCTTCATAAGGGAAGTATAGGTAAGCAACACAGAAAAAGGTAATCAAACAAGAAAACACAACACCTTGACTAAAGCAGACTAAAGTGATTCAATGGCACCTGAAAAGTGACATACTGCAGCTTTTAATAGATTTGCCCATTTCTCTTTCTACTTTACAAGGTTGTATGATTTAACTACAGTGAGTTTAAGTGTTCAGAAAACATCCCTGAGGTAGTATGTAAGAGAAAACACAGATTAATTATCACAAGGTAATAAAACAGAAGAAAGAAGCCATTTACTGGGCAAATCCACAATAAACGCGGCTATGAGTCATTAGTTGTAGTGGTAGCATCCAAAGCCTGAACAAAATCTAAATACATGGTTCATGCATCTGAAATAAGACTTCAATTAGATGAAAATGAAAGAACTAAAGAAACTCCTCCAAGAAAGTCTAAGAAGTTTATACATACTCAGGGTACTGGGTCCACGGGTGGATGAAACGACCTTTAAAAATCATGCTAGGTATTTTTTTCCTCTTATCAATGAATGAATAAAAATCACTCAAATTTAGCAGTTAATACACAATCTTTGGTGTTCCCATAGCATTGTTACAGATGCCACTAAAGAATTTAAACAAGACAGGTCAGAAGATACAAATTTACAGAGGAAGTCTGAATTGCCAAAATTTAAACTTCCAAGCCTCATTAAAATGTATTAAAATTGTAACACATGATTTTTTTTTTATTACTTTTTTTTTTTTTTTTATACAACCGATAGTATAGTCCATCCACTGCCTTTTGATTTTGGGCCACTATATCTTAAGATAGGAAACCAAAGACAAGCAATTTACCATGGTGGAACAGGAAAAACAACCTCCACCTTTCCAGATGCTTGCAACGGAAAACTGTACTGCACTAGACACCATTATCCATATGCACAAAAGAAACAGTAACTTATTAATCATATGGTGTATGGAAAAACAATAGATATTATTAAGCTATGGAAGTTACAAAAGTGAAATTCTAATCCGTTAGGTTCATATACACATAGAGAAATTTTTGCAATGTAACACAGTGGTACTCAAATATGTAGAGGATACTACTTTAATGCTGGTTTATCTTTTTTTTTTTTGGGGGGGGGGTGAGGGTTTTAGTGGGGTTGTTGGTTTTTTTCCCTTTCCCATAACTGATGATCAATTGAGAAAGATACCTATGCTAATCAACTAGAGCTCATGTGTCTTTTGCAATTTGGAAGTCAATAGGTAAACTTCAACCTCAGTTTCACTCAGGAAGAATTCCAGCAATGAACTAAAAACGAAAGAAAACAACTATAAACAGCAATCATGTTTTAAAAATAATTCAGCTATAAATGTGCAAGTTACATAAAATATAAATACAGATTATAAATGAAAAAATATATAATAAAAGTAATTCCAAAATGCATTTGTTTCTCAAGTTCATCTGACTTTTCAGACGAGCAATAATTTTCGGTAAGCATACACTATTTCAGCTATATGCTATATAGCCATAATTTACATATAAATACTTGTTCTCTTTCAATGAACAGAGATTGTGCTTTAAGTGTGTGTGTTTATATATGTACCTACACACACAGACATACTCAGCTATGAACAATTTCTCCCATGCTTTTTAGCATACTGCCAAAATAGGAAGCTTGATATATTGCAATGAACAGAAAAAAAGTAGAAAAAAATAAGTAAGATATACTTAAATCACATATATAAGTGTATTTGAAAGAAACATTTTTAGGATTTTATTTCCTTTTTGTATTTCAAATAGTATAGCACCCTCTGGTGCATCTATTAGAAAGAAAACAACTATGAATAAACACCGGTCATTATTATAAAGAAGAAAACAAGAAAAAAAAGAAAAAGAAACCCTTAGAAACAAAAAATGCCTAAGAATTATTAGAAATCAAATTTCAATTTCATTGTCTCTATTAAAATGTTTTATAACTGAGGTAATTATAACTATTAAATAACAAAATCATTTTAAAAAAAGGAAAACTGCAGGTGTGCTAATATGGGAAAAAAAAAGAAGTTTGAAATTCACCCTATGTTCTTAATGGGTCATTTTTATTAAAAATAAAGTCAAACATTATTTAAGAATAAAAAGTAATTCAGTAAAAAAATTGTTACATCAAGTGATATATCTGCTCCTGGTTTTGAAAGAAAGCAAGTTATTAGGACTATATCATACAGTTGCAAACTGCTAAATTTCACACCCAAATAGTCACATCTCTTTAAAAGTCCAATGAGAACAGAATTCAAAAAATAACATGATTATACTATATGGAACACCTCAAACTCTGATATGACATGTTAACTACTGTAACACTCCTACTCACCGGGAAAGTAATTTCCTACAAAAGTACGTTTTCCTAATCACAAAAGCAGAGATCACCACCTGCTTTAAGCAGCTCTTTTGTAAACCTCTGGAAGTCTCAACACAACACACAAGAACTGGAAGTGACACCTGTTTAAAAGAGCCATCTGTCCCTAACAAACTAGATTTAGCCAAACAGTATATGCACAGCTCCTTAAATTTCCAAAATACTGGCAGATTGTGAGAAAGGAGAAGTCCTGTTGCAACTGACAAGGAACGTTACCAGAAATATGTAAATAAACCTGTGGTGAACAGAAAAACATGATTTAAGCATTAGCCTATTCATTTTAAAAGCCTCATTAATTTTTCAGCTCTCATTATTAGTAAAAAAATAAGTAGTTTCATTCATAATTTAAAACATACTGCTTTTGGTATGTAATAACATTCATTTAACAAAGAGCTTGATTGTGAAATGGAACTCCAACTACAAGGACACTTCAGTACCACTGAAAGCTTATTTTTTATTCTGTATTTGTGATGCACTCACAACATGTTGTTTCAGCTGAAAATAATTTTTAAAAAGGACTTCAAGAGTCATACAACTTATATTGTTAAAAAACTATTCATTTTACTGCAGGTAAAAATACAATAATTCAGAAAACCTTAAGGGGGAAAGAAACCTTTCATAAGAAGACAAAGTGAAGCTAGAAACACTAGCTAGAACTGCAATGATAAAAGATTATTGCATTTTAGATACTTGCTTACAATGCAAGCAAGAAGAGAGGAAAATACTAACAGCCTTCCTTCTCAATGTAAAGTTTAGTAAATGAAAAAAAAAATTACAGAATTTATTATTTAGACAATTTTGTGATTAGCAAACTACCCTATCAAGTGGGAACAAGAAACAGGATAGTGCTAACAAAGCCAAACCTAATTATCAAATAAAGCACTCTGACTTAAAACTCTTTAACAGCACTGTATCTTTGATTTCCATTTCATTTACCTACATTACATTACTGAAAGGGTTTCTCCAGAGTAGCACAATGTAGGGTTAGCTCAGTAATAACAGAACAGAGCATATGATCTATTGAGGCTCATGAGGATACGTTAAAACACGATTAGACAGTTACAAAGTCTAAGCCATGAAAACTGATGGGGGGAAAAAGATAAATCAGAAGCCACCTCATTTTCAAATACTGGTTACCATCACAAGCATCAGCTACTTGATAACTGATAGCATTAGGAAATCAGAGTGCATAATGCAGATCTCGTGATCGTTACAATATTTTAGAGAGAGCAAAAAGTCAACACCTTTCTCAGTAAAGTCCATAACATTAAAGCAGGTGATCACAATGCATAATCATTTTCCAAATTGCAGTCATTTTCTAAAGAACATATATCTAAATAGTACTAAAAAAGTCTTTGTTTTTAGACAAAATCATATACTTTTAATCTGATTTATTAAGAAACATATGCGTGTCTCCTTACAAAGTTAAAACACAGAGTTTGTCTAATAGCCTACGCATGCACTTTCCATTGTTACCAGAGGTCTGGATACATGTTCTGCAAAGAGATTCAGTGCCTAGGAAGGATTCCATCCCAAGCAGTACTCTGTCCTGCTGTAAGAGGGCTACTCAAGAAAGGCATGGAGCAGAATATCCTCTCTTTTCAACAACAGTAGATGGGCAGGAAAGATTTTACAACCAACGAATCATATAATTTACCCCATAAAATAACAAATACATTATGATTCAACTGTGCCATATAACTGATACAGTACTCTAAGTCCCACTGAAAAGTCTTACTGTCTTTAGAGCTTATTTAACAGCAAGACCTAGAAAATCAGTACTCAGTGGTTTCATCTTTGAGTGAAATCACAAAAAGATGATGATGTAGAAACCTTTGGTCATTACTGAAATAATACATTTTCAAAGTTCTTGCTGGCCCATGAAATATACATTAAAAAAAAAAAAAACCCAAGATCCAATATGGCTTAGCCTAAGAAATATTCATATCAACAGTGCACTAACAGCTTAGTATGTTTTTTGTTTGATAGCTGCTTGGAAAAATTGCCCATGTCACAATCATTTGTAGTTCAGATGCAAGACAAACAAATACATTATTGCTGAAATTGCACTGAGAAACCCTGAATTTTATACCACCTTCTACAGATATAAACCCAGAAAAAGTGTATATACAATTATAATGTAAGGTTTACAGTAAAACCAAGAACATCTTTTTTCCTATTTTACTAAATAAAGCAATAAGGAAATAAATAAGTTATCACTCAGCTTGCCACACATGATTTTACAAGTCTAAGGGGAGAGTGCAATACGGATATGGAGATTTTATATGAGAATTTCGTTGCCATAACAGATGCCAAAAATTCACTGTATCTCACAGAATTTAAAAAGTATATAAAGTATAATTTGATATCACTGATGAAGATCCTGATATCTTAATAAGCAGACACAAAAAGGATGAAGAAAACAAGCATTCTGGATTAAAAAAAAAACAACAACATAAACCATTCTCATTAATAGCAATTTCTACTACTGCTCCTTGAGAGGTAAAAAGTTGTCTCTTCCCTCTTTCCCAAAGGTACTCATGAAATACAGTGGCAATTATGAAATCACAAAGACTTTTTTTAGTACTGTTTCTTGTTTTCTCCCTTCTTTGTGTTGCTCAGCACACAAACTCAGTCAATATCCTGAATTTCCTTTTGTGAAGAGTTTAAGGAAAATGAAATAAATTCTCTACACATGAACATAATTCATTGTGCATAAACCAGATCTGCACATGCACTGTCAGTATGAAAGCATCATTTAAAAAATAATCCCCTGCAGAAGGAGTGCAGAAAGGAAAAAACCCTTCCTGCTCTGTCTGTGTATGGGGGGTGGGGGTGGTACTGAATAAGCAGAAAAACGCTTCACAATACAAAGAAAATACAGCTTGCACTAAAATAAGCAGCAACATTAATTATGAATGAAATAAAAAAAATACATGGCTACATAAAGCACAAAAAAGTGATTGATAAGATCGATGGCACAAGAGTATCATTGTAAGACACGGTAAGTTTACAAAAATCTGCAACAATTAGTCGCGTCAAATCAGAACAAGGCCCCTGTAAGTAAAAAGGAAAAAACACCCCCTGCCTCTTGGTGTGCTACAGGATCCGCGTCTGGCTGCATCTTTTCCTCCCACCCCACGGGTTTTTTCGGGTTTCAAGTAAGTAACCTTAGACTGTGGCCGGAGCATCGTTCCCCAATTTCTACGCTCCCCCATCCATGCAAACGAGAGACCAAGTAAGATGCATACCCACCACATCCATGCAATTGTCCTGGAGGTCCCAGAAGCGTGCCTCCGTCCCCATCACCGCCAAGCCACTCTTCCTGCTCACTTCGCACCGCGGCCAGCTCCCCTCCCAGTCCAACAGACACCCCCATCCCAACGGCCCCTCTCAAGAACGCTCTCCCCACCCAACCGCAAAGTACACCCAGGGACAGAGGGGGGGGGGGGGGGGGGGGGGGGGGCCAAAGGCACACGGAAGAGGGACGGAGAGGGGTGGCGGCAGGGAAAACCGGGGGAGCCGTGAGGGCGACCCACGTACCCCTCGCTGCGCCGAGGCCAACGGCGCTGCCCAAGGGAGCACCCCGGCCCGGATGCTGCGAAAACTGGGGAGGCAGCGGCTGGGGAAGGGAGAGCGGAGGGAGGGCCGGCGTGCGCCCGACAAGCGTATTCACCTGGGCTGAGGCGGGCTGTGGTGGTGTTCCCGCTGTCGTTGCTGCTGGAGGTGGCTGTTGTTGTTGTTGTTGTGGGTGACGATGAGGAAGGGGGTGAGGAGCAGCAGCAGGAGGAGGAGGAGGAGCAGGAGAGGTGCGGTTGTTGTTGATGGGTAACAGTCGCCAGGACTACGGTGACTATGGCGCTTGATTCACAAGGCAACGGTTGCTATAACTCACAAAAGGGAGAGCGAGCGAGGGAGGAGGAGGCGGTGGCCCAGCCAGAGAGTCCCGGAAGAGGCGGGGCCTGCCCTAACGGACGACGCCGTAGGGCCGGGGGCGGCTCCCTTAGCCGGGCAGGGCCCCGGGTGACTCTCACGCCGCACGAGGGGGGCCAGCGCGGACGGAAGCGCGGAAGCAGTGGCAGCGAGGCGCGATGGGGCTACCGGCGGCGGGTGGTGGCGCGGAGCCCACGGCGAGGGGCGTGGCCGTGCCAGTGCTGCCTGGGCCGGGCCCGCGGCCGCTTGACGCCACTTCCGGCGGGCGGAGAGCAGCTTGTCGGGCTGCGGCGCGCTTGCCGCTGAAGGGTTCTCAGAGCGCCTGCCCGCGGGCAAGGGGACCGCCGCTAGGTGGGACGGGCAGGAAGTGGGGCCCAGCGGCGGCTTTTCTCCCCCTCCCACAGCCGCCTGTCACAGGCGACCCACGCCTCCTTCCCTCGGAAAATGGCAGCGAGGAGCCCCCGGCGGTGGGGGAGCTACCCGGCTGCCGCCATTTTAAGGCGGGAGGAACGGCTGCACCCGGGCACGCAGCCGTGTGGCTCCGCGATGGCCCTGTCCGCCTGCGATATTCCGGTGAGGAGGCACAAAGCCACACTGGGGCCGAGCCAAGGCACTGGGGCGCCTGGTGGCTTGTTGGGGTCCCCTTGGCTATGCCGCGCCAACGGGCCTCAGTCCCCTTGACCCTGTGCAGGTAGCGGGGCAGAGGTGCGGTGCTGACACACAGCTATGAAAAGCGGCTGCGCTCTTTGTGGCAGTTGGTGTCCATTCTAGATGTGTTTCTGGGGGACGAGTGACGTGGCGGTGCAGGTTGTTTTCTGGATGTATGCCTGGAGGTCTAATGGCCATGACAGTGTCTCTGTACCGTGTACCCCCGTCTGCAGCTCTTTACTAACTTGCAAAGTGTCTCCACAGCGCTTTACACAGCTGCTGTTATAGCTAGTAATGCTTGCCTGTAATGTATGTAAACCACTTAATTCCCTCATGACTGCTTCCTGTGTGCTGTTCTGTATCCTCACATGTTCTTTTACTAGCACGTGGTTTAACAGTCTCAACACCTTTTGCACACCTGTATGTACCTGACATTAGCCTCACGTACCCTACGAGCACTCTGCTACGCCAGCCCCTACAGGAACAGGTTATTTAAATTGCTCTTAAATACCACAGAAGTGTTTGCAAAACATTGATTATAGTTTACTGTGATTTTGAGGGCTCCATATAACCATCACAGCCATAATAACCATTTACCAAAAAAAAAAAAAAAAAAAAAAAAAATCCTGAAAAATCTGTAACTATATAAAAATAAAGTCTTAACTGATGGGCTCTAAGCCTGTGACAGAACAATCTTGAATTAATAAAACACTGCACTTCTGTAGCTGAAGTCTTACTACTTCCTACTGTGAAACCTGATTTTCCTGAGAAGCTAAACTAGTAACTGCTCTACTGCAGTCTTCAACCTCAGTGATGTCTGTGTTTTAATAGATCACACTTATTTGCAATAGTAGCCTTGTCAATCAGAAGCACTAAGGCACAACTGTAAGCAATCTGTTGTAATAATAATACATGGCAGTGTATTTAAGCAGTCAGTTCATTTAAAGGTAAAAGATATTTTGATAAACATCTTTTTTTTTTCTGTCCAGCAAATTCAGGTAGTTACAGTTAGCTGGTAACGTTGAAACGTTTGAGAATTTGTGTTTTCTTATAATTTTAAATTTCATATGAACAATGTAGAGGATAAAAAGAGTGTTGGACACCAGGTAGTTTTACCAGAAAATTGTTGCCAGAGCAATATGACTTGATTCCATGGTAAAGCTTTAGTGACATTGCTAGGGAAAGTGTTGATCTTAATTTATTTTTACTTCTTGATACTCCACTGTCTTTTCTGTAGTGTCGGTTGTCACTGGCACACTTATTTGCTTGGCAGAATGAATAGGGTAAGATACAAATGTCATAAAGTTGTAGGATAAAAACACTGGGCTGTTGGTTTGTGTTCTCATCATGGGATTTTGTGTCTGTGTGGAAAAAAAAAAGCAAACCTAAATCAGGCCTTGGTAGAAATTTGAAATATACATGTATAAGTATCTATATTCTTCCCTTGAGTCAGTATATTTGCAAAATATTTTAGTCTATGCCAGCATCTCTACCTATAAATACAAGGTCATAGAATCATGGAATAGTTTGGGTTGAAAGTGACCTTTAGATGTCATTGTTGTAAAAAAATTCTTCTTTATATCCAGTCTGAATCTACCCTCCTTTAGTTTAAAACCATCACCTCTTGTTCTGTTGCAACAGCACCTGCTAAGAAGTCTCTTCCTCTCTTTCTTATAAACTCAATTCTAAGTATTGAAAGGCTACAATAACTTCTCTCTGGAACCTTCTCCAAGCTGAACAACCCCAACTCTCTCAGCCTTTCTTCATAGGATAGGTGTTCCAACCCTCATCATCTTTGTGGCTCTTCTTTGGACACTCTTCAACAGGTCTGTGTTTTTCCTGTGCTGAGGACTCCAGAGCTGGGTGTGTCACTCCAGGTGGGGTCTCACCAAAGCAGAGTAAAAAGGGAGAATCACCTCCCTCAACCTGCTGGTCACATGTCCTTTCCATTCATTCAGTACCAGGGTTCTCTATTAATCTGTACCAGATAGTTGAGAAACTGAGAGTCCTTTATTAAGCCTGACAGCTACCAGTGCAGTCTACATGGTTGACTTTGAGGATGGCAATAGATGGCCACAATGCCTTGTGCAGGAGGCTCAGTAGTGCGCCTGTCTCTTCGTTGCTTAGGCTGTCTCTTATGTAAGTAGCACTGCCATGCTGCTCTGAAAGTCCTGGGTTCTCATGAAGACAAGTTTGTAACTTTTCCACATAGAATTCTTTCATCTTTTTAAATGATATTTTACCCTGTCTGGTCCTCTCACCAAAGGCTGATGGGACAATCACTGGCAAGCCATCAGTTTGGTATCCTCCTGGTACCACGAGCTCTCTGTCCACATTTTTATAAATAGTGTACTTTCCTGTATTCCCCATAGTTTCCCATGTGGCACCCTGTTGACAATTCTGAGATAAAGAAGACATGGAAAATATCACCATTTGCAGGAATGAGGAAGGAACAAGATGTCAAGAACTGACTGTAAAGGCTGGCTGTAAAGAGCTACTGTGAAACAGGTGATACCTGGCCTTTTATGTGAATAAAAAGCACTCCAAGGTGTGGCATAAACTGCATACTGACAGCTTTCTGCTGCTACCTGTTTGCTTGCTGTATACTGAAAGTCTTAACGGGGTGCAGCCCACTCACTGAGTTGAGGCTCTTGCATGCCATTAGCAGCTGAAACATACTTTGTGCACTTACGGAATGCATCTTCCAGTTTGGTTTCATTGGAAAGGTATCTTGAAAAGGTATGTGAAGTTTGTGTGCAGTAAGATTACACCATGAAGAGAATTAAAGCACAGTAAGTGGGTATAATAGGTTTGCCTTCACAACGCGCTGTTGTTAAGAACTATAATGCTGTAGTAGACATATCCATAGTTAACTTGAAAGCTGACATATTAATTGGTACTAAAAGTCTCTTACAATTTGGTTACACTTGTTTGTAATGAGCCAGTGTCGTACACAGAAATATCCATTATGGTATTTAAAATTATATTGACATATATTCCTAGCTTTACCTATATAATGAGTGAAAATAATCCAGTATAAAAGAAAGTTATCACTCTTCAGTATCTGATATAATAAATGTAAAAACACTGGACAGGCATATGTTAAGCCATACTGAATCTTAAATACAGAGTTGGTTTGTTACCATGCAAAATCTGAGATTATACTAGCCACTGAGAATCCACTTTTCCTAGTCTCTATCCCTAATCCTGGAAGACATTGCTCTGATAGGTGAATTCATGGTTTATAATTGTTTAACCAGAGTTAGGACAAACATTTAAGCAATTTCTTTAGAAACCATTTTGCTCCAACTTTCTAATGCTAGAAATGGTGCCAGACTGATGACCTTTGTAGGTGTGGCAATGCCAGAGGTTCCTGGGTCTACACACTGGCTTTTATACAGACACTGAAGAAGGTTTTCAGCTGTGTGGCCACACATGAGGCTTTAAAATTTCTCTCTTATGCTCAGTCCATGGCAGGAAAAGTCTATGGGTTGGATGGAATTATCCCCTTGTTCTGTTCTGATTACATGAATTCATTCGAGAATAGTGACAAAGGATGAAATAATTTATTGTCACTTTCTGCACTCTGGTGTCCTGCAGAGTTAATGCAATCCCCTGTCTTCACCGTATTGTGGCTGGACTTTGTAACTGCTGTGAAGAGCAAGTGAGCATTGGCCTTTCTATGAAAAAATTCAGATGGCTGAAGTCATAAATGAATGTTTTTTGAGAACGCAACACAGTACTTTTTGTGAGAACTGTACTACCTCCTCCACGAGTGGGTAGTTTTGCAGATGGATTTTAAAAATCTGATAGCTTTTCTAATACAATATCCACCCTGAAAAACATATGCCTAGTAGATCTTAATTTAAATTCAGCATACAGTTATAAACCAAATCATCCACTTGTTTACATAGATTTGACTTCTTTGTTGAAGTTAAATGGGAATACTTCATCACTGGGCGGGGCTAGAGCAGACAGGTCTAGGGTGTTTTGGTAGGCTTGACATTTATAAACAACAGCCTTCGTTTATGATATAACATTTTGTATACCAAGTCAGCCAAACACATACAATATTATAAAAAAAAAACAAATTTGCAGTGGGAATTGTACTATGCAATCAAGGGCATTGTGGCTTTCTTTTTGAATAAATATTTATGGGTTTGCATGACACTTTTTAACCCTGTTGCAGGGAGCCTAGAGAAAACATTTATTCAAATTTCTTGTGTGTATTTTCATTTCTTTCCTAATTTGTACAATAAAATCTGTCGGACTCAAACCCTGTTACATGCTAAAGCTTAAAATCTGTTGCTATTTTGAGATTTACTTTTTGTAGCATCCAAAATTACAAGCATGTAAAAAGACTTAAAAATGCATGGCCTCTTCCACACAGGCAGAGCCCCATTCACTTGACTGAGGCTCTGTGGCATTCCTTAGCGTATTTTCACTGTCTTACAATACTTCTGGA